GTTGGGTGGTTGGGTGGTTGGGTGGTTGGGTGGTTGGGTGGTTGGGTAGTTAGTTTGTTTATTGAGACAGGGTTTCTCTGTGTAGACTTGACTGGCCTGGAGCTCACAATATAGACTAGGCTGGCCTCAGACTCACAGATAATCCACTATCCTCTGCTTTCCAAATGCTGGGGTTAATTTACAAAGTTTCTTGAATTTAAATGTTCATATAATCTTGTTGTAATACAATTGAAAAACCAACATCTTGCATTATAGATAATCTATAGCTAAAGTCAACTTTGTATGCTGATTTAAATTTTATTAGAAAATACTGGAGCATAACTCAGAAGAACTTGGGTTTATTATTCAGTAAGGTTCCCAAAAATTACTAGGAGAATTTACAGCTTAAAGCAGTGACTAATTTTTTCAATTTCATGTGCATTGGTGTTTTGCCTGCATGTATGTCTTTGTGAGGATGCCATTTGGGTGCTGCTTTTAACCACTGAGCCACCACGCCCGCAAGAGCTGTGATTTCCAAACAGTTTTTAGCAATAGAAACCTCTTTTTCTTTTTGTTTGTTTTTTGTTTTGTTTTTCAAGACAGGGTTTCTCTGTGTAGTTCTGGCTGTCCTGGAACTCACTCTGTAGAGCAGGCTGGCCTCGAACTCAGAAATCTGCCTGCCTCTGCCTCCCAAGTGCTGGGATTAAAGGCGTGCACCACCACTGCCTGGCTTGTTTATTGGTTTTATATACTAGAAGCAGATGTAACATTTTATTGAAAAAGAGGTTTCTGGGGCTGGAGAGATGGCTCAGCCGTTAAAGGCTAGGCTCACAACCCAAAAAGAGGTTTCTGGCTGGGTGGTGGTGGCGCACACCTTTAATCCCAGCACTTGGGAGGCAGAGGCAGGCAGATTTCTGAGTTTGAGGCCAGCCTGGTCTACAGAGTGAGTTCCAGCACAGCCAGGGCTACACAGAGAAACCTTGTCTCGAAAAACAAAAAACAACAACAACAAAAAACAATAATGTTTTTAATTTTTTTAAGCTAGCATAGAAAGTAGTGTGTTTCATCATGAAATTTTCACACACACTTGTTCTTAGGTCACCCTCTCGTGCCTTCCCTGTTCCCTGGCCCTTTCTGCTTCACATGAATTCATTAATGTCATTTTTTTCCTTTTTCCTTTTTCCCCTCATACTTTTAGATATCATCTTCCCTTTTCCAAGTCCTCTTTCTAATCTCATGACTTACATCCACATAAAACATAACATTTTATGAGTATCAAATTGCAATGTTCAATTTATTTCACATATAAAGTTTATATAATTTCTTACTGAACTCAATGAGATATTTTTTGATAATACCAAAACTGCAATTCAGAATAGTGGCTGGTCATCCTGGTGTCATTTTGCTTCTGTTGGAGGTCCTAAGGATCTGTCTGTTTGCAGTTGTAGGGTATCCAATGAGATCAGGAGGCAGAGAGCAGAGGATTGAAAGTTCAAGGCCTGGCCTATATAGCAAGGCTGTCGGAAATAAATAAAAGTATGTTTTATATTTAAATTTAAAATACTTCATTAGGCTAGCAGTCCCTTTGAGAGGAAATGTAAAACAAACAAACAAAAAAAGTGTAAAACACCCTTAAGGGTATCTATCAGCAACTATCCCTCACTCTTAAATTTATACCAAAATTATCAATTAAGATTAGGAAGAAGTTATCCAAATATTTTCTCTTAACCTTTGTTTATAAATTTATCTATATTATCAGTTTTATTACTCTTGATGGCTATTAAAGGGTAGGAAATTATTACTGTTTTTTTTTGAGGCTTAGTCTTACTATGGACCCTCGCCTGCCCTTGAGTTTCCTATCTTCCTGCTTCCTCTTCTCTAATGCTGGAATTATAGTGTGTATTAGCTTTTATTTGTTCTATGGGATATATCTTGTCTATTCTTATATTTAATTGTTAAAATAATCAGAAAAACGGGTTTTAAAATAATCTTCATTAAATAACTTATGACCAAATTTATTTGTAATTAATTAATTTATTTATTTATTTATTCATCCATGTGTATGTGCTACAGATTGTGTGTGAGAACTGAGGACAACATTGCAGAAATCAGTTCTTTCTATAGCGGGTTCCAACAGTGAAACTCAGATCATCAGACTTATGCAGCAAGTACCTGTACTCACTCCTTGATCTGGGCCCTTAGATTTTATGATCTGTTGTCTGTCTGTCTCTCAGACTTCATCTCAGTTCCCCTCATTTATTTAGGTCTACCCTTACTCAACTCCTTGCTGTCCACAGGCATTGTAATATGTTCACTTTTACATCAGTGTCCTTTTATTAGTGGTTGCTGTTCTTGGTGGTAGTGGTGGTGCGTGCGTGCGTGTGGGTGTTTAACTAGTGTTTCCTTCTGTCTGGAAGGATCCCCACCACCACTAGAGCTTCTCCGAACTTTTTTTTTCTTTTCCTTTTCTTTCTTTTCATCTTTTCTTGTCTTTTCTTCTTTCCTTCCATCCTTTTTCTTTTCTTGTCTTATCTTTCCTTTTATTTTCCTTCCTTTCTTCCCCCTTTTTCCTTTCCTTTTTCCTTTCCTTTTTCCTTTCCTTTTTCCTTTCCTTTCCTTTTTCCTTTCCTTTTTTCTTTCCTTTCCTTTTTCTTTTCCTTTCCTTTTTCCTTTCCTTTTTCCTTTCCTTTTTCCTTTCCTTTCCTTTTCTTTTTCCTTTCCTTTCCTTTTTCCTTTCCTTTCCTTTTTCCTTTCCTTTCCCTTTCCTTTTCTTTCCTTTTTCCTTTCCTTTTTCCTTTCCTTTTTCCTTTTTCCTTTCCTTTTTCCTGGGTAGCCCTAGCTGTCCTGGAACTTGCTCTGTAGACCGGGCTGGCCTTGAACTCAGAAATCTATATGCCTCTGTCTCTCCAGTGCTGGGATTAAAGGCATGTGCCTACTCAGTCTATAAATGGGTCCTTACTTCCTGCCATTACACAGTCTTGTACTGCTCAGTTTTTCTTGTTAATGCTTGGTATCACATTGTATTTACATGGCTGTCTCATTTTTTTTTAATTTTTTTATTGGATATTTTATTTACATTTCAGATGTAATCCCCTTTTCCCATTTCCCCCCAACCCAGGAACCCCCTATCTCATCCCCTCCTGCTTCTATGAGGACGTGCCCCCACCCACGATTTCCTCCACACTGGGGCATCCAGCCTTCACTGGACCAAGGACTTCCTCACCCACCTATGCCTGACATTGTCATCCTCCCCTACATATACAGCTGGGGCCATAGGTCCCTCCCTTTGTGCTCCCAGGCAGGTGGTTTAGACCCTGAGAGCTGTGGTTGGTTGGTATTGTTGCTTTCCTCATGAGGCCACAAACCCTTTCAGCTCCTTCAGTCTTCTCTCTCACTCCTCCATTGGGAACCCCATGATCAGCTCAGTGGTTAGCTGTGAGCACCTCAGTATGTCAGGCTCTGACAGACCTCTAAGGAGACAGCTGTCTCTTGTAGTCACATACTTATCACCTGACAGTAGAAACACTGTTCTATTCACTGCTGTGTTACTGGAACTCAGGCTAGTACTTGGTCTGCTGCAGGGCTGAAGATGTAGTTTATCTAGTGTGTACAAAGCCCTAGGTTTGATTACTAGTGCTGTAGGACTATAATAAAAGAAAATAATAAAATAAAATCAGAAGTGAAAGTAAAAGCATTGATGGGAATAACTTGGGTCTTTTTATTTTTCTATTTTTAGAAACAGTGTCTTACTGTGTTGCTTGTCTGGAAGTCTTGGGCTCAAATGAGAACTGTATAGCGACTACAGGCACATGCCACCACATACAACTTTTTTATAGTAATTATTCTTCTGAACTCTACTTCTTCCCTTTGTATTTTCAGAATATGAGCGATGCTATGGCAATCTTGCACAAACTGCAGACAGGCCTGGACGTGAACGTCAGGTTCACTGGGGTACGAGTTTTCGAGTACACACCAGAGTGCATAGTCTTTGATCTTCTAGATATTCCTTTGTATCATGGGTGGTTAGTGGACCCTCAGGTAAGTAGAATTGAGTTACGTAAACACAGGGGGCTGGAGGGATACCTCAGTGGTTAAGAGCACTGGCTACTGTAGACAGGTCACAACTGTAACTCTAGTTCCAGGAGATCCAGTGCCCTCTTCTGACCCAAACAACCACCAGGCATGCCACTGGACACAGACATACATGTAGGCCTAACATTTATATAAATAAAATAAAAATGTATCAGTTATATAAATACAAATGCAGGAAAGTTATTCTAAACATATATATGTTTATGTTTAATTTATATATATTCTAAATTGTTTTGTTTTTTATATTTAATTATATACAATATAAAATTAATTTATATTTAATAGTATATATTATTATATATTATATATTTTATTCATTATGTATAATTTATTGTTAATATAGTAAATTAATTTTGGGGGGGAGGTTGAGACAGGGTTTCTCTGTGTAGCCCTGGCTGTCCTGGAACTCACTCTGTAGACCAGGCTGGCCTCGAACTCAGAAATCTGCCTGCCTCTGCCTCCCAAGTGCTGGGATTAAAGGCGTGCGCCACCACTGCCCGGCAGTAAATTAATTTTTTATTAATATGTCTTATATAATTATTGCATATATGTAATAGATAATAATATATTATTATATAATATTTAATAATTATATGTGTATTATATTTAATTACATATAAAATAATTATATGTAACTAAATTTATTTATTTGTTTGTTTATTTAATTGTCTGTCAATGTCCCATTGCTCTGTTAGTTGCTGAAAAAAAATCATTCAGGATGAATTACTTATCTTGATACCCACTTGAAAAGTGGTACACGTACACACACCTATTTTTTTGTTCAATTTTTTTTTTTTTTTGGTTTTTCGAGACAGGGTTTCTGTGTGTAGCCCTGGCTGTCCTGGAACTCACTCTGTAGACCAAGTGGGCCTTGAACTCAGAAATCCACCTGCCTCTGCCTCCCAAGTGCTGAGATTAAAGGCATGCGTCACCACTGCCCAGCTGTTCAGTGTTTTAAATTCTCCAGTATAGTTCCAAGAAGTGAAATCATAATAGACATTTGTTGTTTTGGTTTTTGTTTCTGTGACCAGACCCACATGGTATCCCAGGCAAACCTGGCACTCACTATGTAGTCCAGGCTGACCTTGAATCCATAGCCATCCTGTCTTAGCTTAATCTAGGTTTTTGTGCTCTAGACTCTGCCTGACACCACTTCCTGCCTTTCTCTGACATTCTCACTTTACTATAGTGATACTTGCTGTTTTTCTCTTAGCTAAGCAGGTCAGCTTGTTCCTCTCAGAGCTGCTAATGTTGCTGCAGGTCCTGGCATGAAACCCAGAGCCCTGTGCATGCCAGGCAAGGCTGCACTCTCAGCCCAGCTCAGTTTTGTAGTGACTAGATTAATACTCACTGTGGACTGCTATTCTCTTGGTACCTTGTTCTTTCAGATCGTCACATATTTGGTTCTTTGTATAGCAAAAGTTCTTGTCAAATATTATCTTGTCAGAGAGGCCTTCCGTAAACTTACTGCTCTTCCTCTTGTTGCCACTTTCTCTCCCTTTGCTATGTTTTTACCATTTATCATGAACTATAATTATTCATTTCCTTGAATGACTATAATTTCTCAATAAATGCTTATTTTATGGACTTTGGGTCTTATGTCTCAGCATGTAGAATAGTGTGTTGCACACAGTAGGTGCTAAATAAATATTAACTGGTGGAATACACTGTGTCTTTATTAGCTATTGAGAAAGAGAGGCCATCATAGTAGAGGCTTGCCCATGCCCTCCATCCCCATCTATTGGTAAAAGTAACTGGTATTCTGGGCAGTACAGGGGTAGTTCACATTAACAAGGATATCTATGTTTTGATTGGTACTTTTTCACTGAGGATGTCACTAAAAGTCAACCATGCCCAGCGTTTTACACATGCCATGTGTGTCCTGGTAGGTAGCAATGCCAGGTAGTTTTACTTCCTGTGAATAACATGACATTAAACTAAACTCAAATCACCTGTTTGTATATGTAGCTAGCTATAAGTTGTCCAGTACATAGGTAAATAATATGCTTACAGAAAAAATGGACTTCAATGTAGTACATTGGCAGATTGGAGATGGCAAACCAGGTGCTTCTAGTCTAGGCAGAGGTTCTCAAAAGAAGCCTCGGTGCTTTAGATCTGTTTCATTCACTTGCTTTTTAACAAATCCTGATGCTCAGAAGAGAACAAGAAAAGGCAAAAGCTTTAAAACCTTTCAAAACTGAATGCTTCTTTGAATTCTAATTCTGTGGTCTCTAAATAACTATCTTGCTTTGGTATAGTAGTGCACACCTTTACTACCAGCATTTGGAAGACAGAGGCAGACATCTTTCTGAATTTGAGGCTAGCATGGTCTACATAGAGAATTCTAGGACAGCTAGGGCTACATAGAGAGACTTTGTCTCAAAAGAGAAAAATATCTTGCAAGTAAATATATTCTTTTGGATAATGAACACTAGAATTTAGTCACTTGAGAAGATATTTCTAAATGATTGGTAATTAATATTTTATTTTATTTATTTTGGAGACAGGGTCTCATGCATCCTAGACTGGCTTCAAACTCACTATGTAACAGAGGAATCATCTTGAACTCCCAATCCACCTGCCTTCACCTCCCTGGTGCTAGAGCTACAGGTACAGGCCAGCACACCCTCTGCAGCAGAGGTTAGAGGACAATGGGATGCCGTCAGTGAGTGAGGAGGACAGACACTAACCCATAATTCTGTCCTTGTACAATCATTTTTCAAGAAAGAAGCAAAGTTTTTTTTTCAAATTACATTTTAGAAATTTGCTATCACTAGGGCTTTATTAATAGAAATATGAACAAGTATTTAGACAAGAAGTAAAATTACTCCAAACATAAAGAAAAAAGAGATATAATGTATATAACAGATAAATCTAAGTTACTGATGATTACCAAATAACATATATTTTTGGGTACTAAAAACTTCTAAACTCTGCAAAAATTAGAAGGAGAATTAATGAAATTAAAGTATTCCAAAGACCTAGCATTAATTGTTAAAAAAGAAAATAACAATGTCTGTCTTTACTTTTGTGATAAGTCTTGCTTTGTTACTGAGTTTGACCTAGCAAATACTTAAAAAGACAATGATTGTGGGCTAGATTAAAACAGATTTGTGTTTCGGTGTTGATGAGAGACACAAATAAAATATAATTATAGAGAGAGAGTGTAAGGACAAAAGAATGCCTCAAAATTGATAAATGAAAAATGATGGGCAGATGGCATGGACATTCTGAGTTTGAGGCCAGCGTGGGACTTATGAGACCTCCATCTCAAAAAAGAAGAAGAAGAAGTGGGGGTGGGAAGGAGAGAGAACAAAAGAAAGATAAGTGTGAAGCTGTCATGGGAGAAGGGCTCAGCACCAAGGTCACAGGCATGTGCCACCATGCTATTTGAAAACATCTGTGTTTTATCTGAACACTAAATTTTTCTTTTCTTTTTTATTTATTTGTGTTTTAAGTGTATGGATGTTTTGTCTGCATGTAAGTTTGTATACTGTGTTTGTGCAATGCCTTCAGGGACCAAAAGAGGGTGTTGGCTTCTGGAACTGGAGTTGCAGACAGTTGTGACACCTATGTGGGTGCTAGGAAAATAGCTCAGGTTCTCTGGAAAAACAGCCAGTGGTTTTAGCTCTGAGTCATATCTCTACCCCCTGAATTTTTCTTATTTTTTCTCCTGAATACCTCATGTACTATAGTGGCTTAAATCCATCTTTATAGCCTTAAAGTTGTATGTAATAACTATCATTTTTGCACAATATAACTGCTGTAGTTTTCATAATGTATATGGAACTGCTTTTCAAGGTTCTATGCTGACCTTCTCCTAAGCTTTTCCATTTAGTGTTGTTATTAGAAAGCATGCTTACAGAATGAGGGGCTTGCCTTTGTTACTTTTCCCACCTTTCCAGGACTAGTGAGACCATCATTTGTTTTTTCAGATTGATGACATTGTAAAAGCTGTTGGCAACTGCAGCTACAACCAGCTGGTCGAGAAGATCATCTCCTGTAAGCAATCAGACAACAGCCAGTTGGTTAGTGAAGGTGGGTGAGTGCTGCTCATATCTGGTGAAATAATTTGTCTTGAAATTCCTTGAGTTTACATTTATCTTTTATAAGTATACAAAATAATGGTTTCTTTATAACATATTCATAGCTGTAAATTGTTTAGACAGGACTTCTAAAAATACTACAAGTGGTGGCACTTGTAATAATTGAGAGAAGCATTTGTAGGCATGCCAAGGAAGGATTCTTTCTAGAGCCCTATTCATCTGGCACGTAACATCAGGTCAGGATGCTAATAGAACACTTTGAATCACTTACAGCTTTAGTGTGGTCAGATATCTAATGAACTGGGTTGTTTTATTGACCCTGAACCCCCTATCTGAAGAGAGTGTATGTATTCTCCACTGTGTCTCAGTGGGGTTCAATATAAAAGCCTCATTCTAGAACATGATTAACTGACCAAGATTACTAACTTCACTGTCACAGAGACAGATCAACATTTTTTCAGCCTTTTTCTCCCACTCTCAAGAGTTCTTTGTCACTTTTCCTCAATAAATCTACATTTACTCCACTTAAAAAATATGCAAATTTTTTCAGCTGTGCTCCAGTTAATAGTGAGTAAAGAGATTTGAAACCAGAATGTTCTCAGGCTGAAAGCCATTTGCATAAACTTTCACCACCACTCACTCAGTTCTTCCTTAGAGTGGTAAAAGAAAGAAAGGAAGGAAGAAGAAAAGAAAAAACAAATATCAGAAGAGGCAGGAGCAGGGGATGAGTCTCTCACTCAGACAAAGTTCTTCAATATGTAGCACAATAAAAATTGATTATATATATCACAGTTTTAGAAATTAAAGCTAGTTATTATTAGGATATCTTGTAGACTAGGGACTGGCCAAGGTGCCATATGTCTTTAATACCAGCACTCAGGAGGCAGAGGCAGGAGGATCTTTGTGAGTCTGAGACCACCTGGTCTACATAGTAAGTTTCAGGACAGCCAGGACTACATAGAGAACCTGTCTCAAAAACAAACAAACAAACCAAACAGTGACTTAAGCTAGGGAGATGACTCAGTTGGTAAAATGCTGGATGTGTAAGACCTGTAAATCTCTTATATCCCACATAAAACCAAGCACTTCAGAGACAGGAGGATCCTGGTGGCCAGCTGGTCAGCCATTCTAGCTAAATTGCTGAGGATCTTGTCTCAGACAAAAGGAGATAGCAACAAGGAGGACATTAGCCCACATTAATCCCTGGGCCTCCACATGGACACACACTTGCATACATATGCATGCACACACATAAACACACACACCAAAAACAAAAGACAATGTAAGAGCATATAGAATGACATGTATATGACTCTCATTAACTAATCCTACTAATTGTGTTAATTATCCAGGATCTTAATATATTCTTGCAAAAAGGCAAATAATAAAAGTTTATTCCAGTCTATTACTTGAAAAGATAATATAAACATACAGGACTCTGATCATTGATTTGTGTGGCAGCTGTTTTATTACAACTTAAGACAGAAAAGTTTACACTTTAGGAAGGAAAAAGCAAGAAAGCTATCATATCATAGAAATGTTGTCTGCCTGGTGTAGTGTCTCACGCCTCCTCTAATCCTAGTGCTTTAGAGTTTGGGATAGGAGAGCTGCCATGGATTTGAGTCCAGCCTGAGCTGTAGCTATGTAAGGAGCTGCAGGCCATTATGGGATACAGTGTGAGAACATCTCAAAACAAACCAGAAAGTCTTTTTTCTCTCCATATGCTCACTAAATGTACTTCTTCCTTCTATATTCCCAGTGTCAGATATATTCCTGAAAAGAAGCCTATAAAGGAAATTTCTGCCTATAGAATCTACTGTATCACCAACGCTCCATACACTTTTAGAATTGTTACTATTCTAGGGCTGGTAAGATGGCTCAGTAGCTAAAAGCACCTCCCATAGAAAACCTAATGACCTGAGTTTGAGCTCTATTACCCATGGCAGAAAGAAAGACCTGTTCTTGAAAGTTAGCCTCTGATTTATACATGTGTGCAGTAACATGCATGTACAACATACACACAAACAGATAATGATGATGATGATGATGATGATGATGATAATGATAATAACTATTTAAAATAGAATTCAATGGTAATTGAAAGAACAAAATTCAAAATGTTAAGTATCCGAATGAATTCATGAAAGGGAGTTTGGGTGAGCATGTACAGGTGAAAAGCCAGGGGAAACAGCCTGACAGCATCCTTCCCATGCCAGGCTGCAATTCCAGAAGGGTAGGAGTGTGGATAATTGGGAAGAATATCTTGGTAAAAACATGAAGGAGTCACCTACTCTGCTGTGCGTGGAATTTTTGTGTACATATACCATGCATGTTTATTATAAAGTACATGTACATATACATGTACATATACATGTAAAGTACATGTACATATACCATGCATGTTTATTATAAAGTCTTCGATATGCCAATTCGATAGCAGTGAAACTCTAAAAAGTAATCATATATGAAGCTTATCACAGATTAAAAGCTAAACTAGTTTTCTGATAGTAAAAAAATAGCAATATGTAGTGTGTTTGAAATAATACCAGCCATGACTTGCATAAGGCCCCAAAGCCCACACAGACAGGGAGGAGCCACAGTGGTGTTTTCGCTCGCATCTCAGCAACCCCATCCCACATGATTTGTGGTCATATCTGCTTCCTTTTCATTTGTAGCCTTCAACTGTGTCCTCCTTTTGAATCAATAAGATATCCAAACCAGTTTATTTCTAGCCTTATAAGCTAGAAATTTAAGTTGTCTTAAATGACAACTACTTTTTAATCCAAGCATTCCATGAGACCTCAAAATATAAGAAATACTTTTCCTAGCATTCCTTTTGGTGGGAAAATGCTATATAGCTGATGTCAGAAGCAGCAGCTTTTCTGTTTGGTACTAACACCTGTTAGCACAGCACAGCATTGCAGCATTGTTACAGTAAACAGCGGGCATCATGTTTCTTCTTGAGTGGCCATGCCTTCTGAATCTGGTTGCTATAATGATTGCTTGTGACATGAAAATAAGAATGAATAAGGAACCTCTCCTCCAAGTACCAACTGCCAGACTCCCCACAGCCAGTCATTTAGTTTCACACCCTTTTAGGAGTAACTTCTTAACAACTATTCCTGCTTATAAAACTAACCCCAAGATATTTACACCAAACTTTTTTTTTTGCCCAGTTGCATTCATATTATCTTCATTAAGTAGTAGCAATAATTATTAATTTATTAAGTAATATCCATCATTTTTCTTTGTCCAAATTTATTTTGAGATGTCTCAAAAACTCTAAAAAGTTAGACTCTCTTGGTGAACATTCACATGTTCTTTACTTAATTCCCCAGTTGTTCACACATTGAATACCATTGAATATCTGCCTTTTTTCTATATTCTTACACAATACACTTTTCTTCCTAAATCATATCAGAGCTAATTACAAGTGTCACATCACTTCATTCATGAATGTGTCATCATTGTCTCTTTGAAAGAAAGACTGCATAACTTCTCCATTGTAATCACAGTGACCTCAGGCAAGGCTGTGTCACCTAGTATGCTGTTTATATGCTCCTGAGTTTGGTTTGTTTCTTTCTTTCTTTCTTTCTTTCTTTCTTTCTTTCTTTCTTTCTTTCTTTCTTTCTTTCTCTCTCTCTCTCTCTCTCTCTCTCTCTCTCTTTCATTTCTTTCTTTCTCTCTTTCTTTCATTTCTTTCTTTCTTTCTTTTAAATTTATTTATTTAGTATGTATACAGTGTTCTGCCTGCATATATGTCTGCAGGCCAGAAGAGGGCACAAGATTTTATTATAGATGGCTATGAGCGAGCCACCATGTGGTTGCTGGGAATTGAACTCAAGTCCTCTACAAGAGCAGCCAGTGCTCTTAACCTCTGAGCCATCACCCCAGTCTGCTCCTGGGTTTCTTAACCATTCCCTCTAACTTTTCATTTCTTTCAATGTATGCTCCAGCCAAGGATTAGTAAGCAGTTGTAATAGCTTCACTCTCTCTCATTTAGAATAGATCCCTGATTTCCTTTTCCTTTCTTTTCTTTCCTGCTTTATTTTAAACTTTTATTTTATCCCTTGAAATTTTCATAGTTTATTTTTTCTTTCCATTAACTCATTTATTTACTTTACATCTTGATTATAGTCCCCGCCTCACACAGCTCCTCATCCTCACCCCTCCCCTTCACCTCTGAGAAGAGGGAGATTCCCCTCTGTATTACCCCACCCTGACACCTCAAGTCACTGCAGGACTAGCCACATCCTTTCCCACTGAGGTCAGCCAAAGCAGCCCAGTTAGGGGAACAGGATCCACAGACAGGTAACAGAGTCAGGGACAGCCAATGCTCCACTTGTTAAGGGACCCACATGAAGACCAACCTGTACATCTGCTGTATACGTACAGGGGTCCCAGGTCCAGCCTTTGTGTACTCTTTGGTTAGTGGTTGAGTCTCTGGAAGCACCCATGGGTCCAGGTCAGTTGACTCTGTCATGCAGTGTATTTTTATCATATTCTTTCCTGTTTCCCAACTCCTTTTAGATCCTTTTGTCTCCCTATCCACCCAACTTCATGTTCTTTCTCTATTGCTTAAAAAAAGAAAGAAAGAAAGAAACATGCAATCTGATAGGTGTTGGTCAATCACTCCTGAGCATGGGGGCTGCCCTGGATTGTGGGGGACATACCCAGTGTCAGTCCAATTGAATTAAACTGATTTTTCTCTCTTCCTGGAGAAATCTAGCTGATGCTCAACTGGAAGCTACACTCCTACTGGCGAGCATTCACAGTGGTAGAAGGTGCTATACATACTACTAGAGAAGTAAAATAGTCATTGGTCTCACTGGCTACAAACCGTGTGAGCTGTAATAACAGCCTGCCTACAAGATATGCCCACTGGTACAAATAGTGGCATGACCTCTAGGAGTAACCAACTGCTGTTGGGTGGGATGTAAGGCCTACTCCATGTGATGGTACCCATTCCTGATACTGTTAATGAGCTCAGGAATCTGACATTAGATAGGGCTCAGGGGAAAACCTACTATTATTCTGCTATATGAACACAGCAATAAAATGACTCCCAGTGACACATTGCTATAACCATAGATCAATGCCTTGCTCAACCCACACCAGAGAAGTTTTTTGCTATGGTAATTAACACAAAGATAGCTACAACTTGGCGAGAGAGAGAGAGAGAGAGAGAGAGAGAGAGAGAGAGAGAGAGAGACAGAGAGAGACAGAGAGAGACAAAGACAGACAGACTTTGGAGTGCTCAGCCCTAAATAAGATGTCTTATCCTAGGTCTTCCCCATCAATGTTCAGGGATCTATGTGGAAAAGGGGAGTGGAAAACTTTAAGAACCAGAGGTGATGGATGATTTTAAGGAAACAGCATTGTCCAGGCACAACAGAAGAGATGCACGTATAAACTCAAAGGGACAGTGGCAGTATGCACAAAACCTACAAAAGCTGAGCCCAACAAAATTTCTTCTGAGCAAAGGAAGAGGCATTGGTACTAAGTTCTACCCGTAGCTAAGAGAGAGAGGGAGGTGTGGGGTTTGCTTGCTGAGGCCAGAAAAGGGCTTTAGATCCTCTGGAGTTGGAGTTATAGGCAGTTGTGAGCAGTTGGATGTGGGTGGTAGGAACCAAACTTGGGTCATTTGCAAGATCAGTATGTGCTTTTACCCACTGGCCCCTATCTCCAGCCCCCTTTCAACCTTCTGTGCATTTATGGCATTGTTCTCTCCTGCCCACACCCCTGTTCCCCTTCTCTGCTCATCCCTCTCACTCTTCTCTGTTAACATTTTTTTAAATGCAGGCCAGTATTTTGTAGAATAGCCTCAACTTTGATTTATCTGATTGTTCTCTTAGGAGTAGAAACAGGTAATATATTTTTGGTTAGACTTCCACACAGATGTCATCCTCTATAGTAGTCTTCTTACTGCACCAAATTGGGTACATGAGTCAGACCATTCATTATTGGTTAGATTTAAACTTGAGTGAGGTGGAATAGTCCAAATGTCTTTATTGTAAAATCACCCTTTTCTCTTTGGTTTTTTGTTTTGTTTCTTTTTTGTTGTTGTTTTGTTGTTGTTGGGGTTTTTTTTTGGTTTTTTGTTTTGTTTTGTTTTGTTTTTTGAGACAGGGTTTCTCTGTGTAGCCCTGGCTGTCCTGGAACTCACTCTGTAGACCAGGCTGGCCTCGAACTCAGAAATCCGCCTGCCTCTGCCTCCCAAGTGCTGGGATTAAAGGTGTGCGCCACCACCACCCGGCATTCTCCTTGTAATTAATAAGTAATTAAAAATCTGTCCTTAGGCTTTGAAACTGTGGGAGTAGACATTTCTCAAAGAATCGTATAGTCAATAGATTTAAAACCATTGATTTTTAACTGTATCAGTTATAGTTGTGGTGGTTGTGGTGTTTTTATTATTCCTTTTATACTTATTGGCTGTTATTCTTCTGTAAAAGGTAGTTCTCTGGGCTTGGTGGTAGAATGCTTACTTTAGTGTATATAAAGCCTTAGATGGATTCTATTCTCAGCATAATAATACAAAATAAAAATAATTTTTTTACAAAGTAAGAATAGATTTCCCTTCCTTCTCTCTCATTGAAAAAAGTTATATCAGTATAAACTTAGAAATCTGAGAAATTTTTATTAGAATTATTTTTTACTGTTTTTTTTTCTTACTTGAGAGTCTCACTAAATAGCCCTGGCTGATCTGAAACTCACAGAGATCCATCCTCCCACCTCTGCTGCCCAAGTACTGAGATTAGAGATGTACATACATCACCCTGCCCCATCAAAAGTGCAGAATTTGAAGGAATGCACATAAGTTCACTGCTATGTACAATGACATATCAAACTCTGTTTAGTTATTAAAAGTTGAACCTAGAGTACACTTATCTATATTGGATTAAAATTACCATTTAAGAGACAAAAAAGAATTAGGAAACATTATGTTTTTAAATTCTTAATAAGCTTATGCCTTATGATTTCAGATGATGTGTAATTCAGGTGGAATTCATAATCATTTCTGCACTAAATTGGTAACATTTTAATACCAATAATAATTCCTCTGGTTCTAGTCTTCACTTTATCATAGCCAGTTTGGTGTCCTTGGGAAAATCATCTATTTTCTGTGAGCCTATTTCCTATTCCATAAAAAGAAGATTCTGAAAAAGATGTCTTGTATTCATTTTTAAACTTCATACTAACATGATGGTGGTGGGTCTGTCCCCAAGTGCAGTGAACCTTTTGTATTTTCTCAAGAATGCATGTATGAACATGGACACTGCAACCACGAGTGGTATTTTTGAGCAAACAGTGTATCCTTTAAAGGGGTACATAATAGTAAAAGCTTGAATACATTCTGCCAAGCAAGGTGATAGCAATAACATGGAGGGGGGACTCTTATTTCCCAATGTATTAATACAAGTGTATGCTGTAAACCCCAAACTCTCCTTCCCCTAACCAAATCTTGCTTAGTGTGATGTATGGATACATTTCTATAACTCCTTTGGAGTTCTAAGTGCCATGGCCTGATGACAAGAAATGGAAAAGGAGTGCCCTAATCTCCCTTGCTTAGCCACACTGGGCCTGCTAAGTCCCACCCAGTTATTTTCAGCTTCTCATTGAAGTGTCTTTTAATACAACTCTACTCTCTGCACCACTTGATGTGCTTTCTCTGCATATCAAGTATCTCTCTTTCTGTGTGTGTCTGTGTGTCTCTGTGTCTTTCTCTGTCTGTGTCTCTGTGTCTCTCTCTCACCCTGGATGGCATGGAACTCACTTTCTAGACCAAGCTGGCTTTAAACTCACAGAGATTGAAGGCATATACTACTATGCCTGGCCTCAACTCTCTATAAAATATAGAGTAACTTCCCTGTTGTTGTTTTATGGTGTCTGTGTCCCTTGTAAACCTCCTGGAAGAGTTTTCACAAGTTAAGTGAATACACCTACGGATGAAAGCGATTTCACATCACTGTTTCTTCAGGACAGGAATGACCAGGGACACTGCTCCCATAGGAAAATTAGAAAGATATATCTCCAATCTGGAGGCCATTGTGTTCACAGGAAAAGTCTTATATTAATTGGCCTTTGTATATAGTTGGAACAAATGTAAATAGGAAAAGTAACTTTCTAACTTTGAAATAATTCTTCCTTCTCATAGTACACATTGGTTCCGTAGGCTTTGTAGCTGAGCAGTTTCTAAACAATACAGCCACTCAACTGACGTACCATGGATTATGTGAACTGACTTCAACGGTTCAGGAAGGAGAACTCTGTGTGTTCTTTCGGAATAATCATTTTAGCACCATGACAAAATACAAGGTAGGATATAGAAAGATACTTTTTACTCTCAATCAAAGGAGTTTGATTTAGAGATGTGTTTTGATCTGCTGCAGAATAAAATTTAGCATAATATTCCTTAGCCATCAAGTTGTGAAGATAATTAAGTACTGCTTTAGAATAGAGTGAATTAGCAATTGAAATGTTACCTTGATCAGCTTTTGTTTCTAAGTGAAGTCTCAACTTCTTTATCATAGATCATCGCACTCATGTCTTTACTTTTTATTTTCTTGGGGAGAGGATTTCACGGGGAAGCCCACACTGGGCTTGAAGTGGAGATTTTCCTGCCTCAGCCTTTGGAGCACATGTGCTGGCATGCCTAACTGGGGTGTTTCTTACTTAGAGGAAACAAAATACCTACAGCTAGAACTAGCGTGACTGAATGAAGGGTGCTTATATGTAAGCAGTAAAGGCTGTGAGAAGTTAGAATTAAGATCTGCCCTAAGCTGAATGTGTTGGTACTTGCTGTAATCCCAGCTTCTGAGTGTGCTGAGAAGGAGAAGTTCAAGGCTAACCTGGGATACACAACAAGGCTGACGTCCCACTCCTCACCTTCCCTCTGACATAAATTACCTTCATGTCAATGCTGGCTTTTATTACAGTTATCAATGTGTTTATGATTTTTACATATATGCACACATACACACTTAATTGTCCATTCTTTTTAGTCATCTCTTAGATCTGCCTCTTTTGATTTTACAAGCAACATCTAGTTCAGAAGTTTATCAACCTAGACCCCTATGACTGAATGCTGTTCCTGCTGTGTTGTTAAAACAGCACAGATGTTCAGTTAGCACCCTATGCCTGGAGGACAAAATGTAGTTCTTCTCTGCCACAGATCCCATCCTATTTGAGTTTAATGTATCCTCATTTGCTTCCATTTTTATTTCTTCATTCTATTTGGGAAGCTATCCTCACTGCTGTTTGCTTATCCCAAAATTACCCATTCTTTAAAAAGCAGCCCAAATACTAACTTACTGAAAGCTGCCTCTTTTCTACTTTAGCTAGTAATTCTCAGCCCTGATTGTATCCTAGACCTATCTGGATGGCTTTTTAAAACCACCAGTGCCCAGAACTAACCACTAATGCTATTAAATCAGAGTTCTAAAGGAGATGGAACCTGAATGCCAGGCTTTTTGTTGTTTGTTATTTGGTTTGGGGTTTTGCAATCGAAAGGATTAGACCCGATACTTTGCACATGCTAGATAAGTGCTCCACCTTCATGCTACCCTTCCAATCCTGCATCGGTAGTGTCAAATGCTCCCAAGTGGTTTTCATGGAAATCTAAGGCTGAGGACCTCTCCACTAACCATCCTCTGTTACTGTCCGTGATGAGTTTTTTCTGTTTTCTGTCTTGTTACCAGTTTGCCTCCCCTGTGAATATGTGTTTATTTTCTAAATGAAAGTAACTCATAGCCAGGCAGTGGTGACAGACACCTTTAATCCCAGCACTTGGGAGGCAGAGGCAGGCAGATTTCTGAGTTCGAGGCCAGCCTGGTCTACAGAGTGAGTTCCAGGACAGCCAGGGCTACACAGAGAAACCCTGTCTCAGGAAAACACCTCCCCCCCCCAAAAAAAAAAAAAAGAAGAAAAGAAAGTAACTTATAGAAGCCATAAACCACACTTTCATGTTTCCATCAATGTTTTTTATCAATGGATGACATGAGGTAATATAAAATTATTTGTTTGCCAATGAAAGAATATCCCAAAGCCATAAATAGTTCTACTTTTAGAAGAGCACATTTTACTGTTTCAGCTTCATTCTTAGGTGTTCAAGAACCTAAAGTCAAAGCATGCCAGCTCAGAGTGGCTGCATATCACCTTGCTTTCCTTGCCCTCTCCAAGCCGTGAACCCACTGATATGTTGGCTAAGCTGAGCCGGACAACCACGGCCATAGGTACAGCAGTCATAGTTTCTCCCATTTAAGGACTTCTTTGCTACTAAGATGCTTCTGTTAAGGGCGCATGCCACAAGCTCTGAGAGCTTTTCCCAGGATTTTATCTGCAAAGACTTTTCTGAGAATGACACATAGACACAAACATAAGGACTTGGGGAATACTGCTCAATGGTAGAGCAATTACCCAGCATGCACAAGACCCTGGATTCAATCTCCAGTACTGCCAAGAAAGAAAACTCTGAAATCTGAGAATGAATCATCTAAGAGTTTAATCAGTTAATAACAAAACAACAAAAAGAAATAGCTAAGCAGAAATACCTAGCAGCACATGTGCAAAGGCCCCAAGGTAGTAGGGACCAAAGAGCTGTGAGCTGGAAGTTTCGAAGTAAGATGGATGAAGGAAAGCTAACAGACACATGGGCTCTTCGACCATAGTCGAAATGAGAAGCAATGAGCCTGATTTTCTTAATGGCCCTGGCATTTCCTTTTCTTTTGGCCTAAGAGTGAGTAGGAATGAAACAGTTCTGTTGGAAAACTGTTGGGCTGTCATTGGTAGCTGAGAACTACTTCTCCCTCTCTCCTCTCCTCTCTCTCCCTCTCCCCTCTCTCCCCTTTCTCCCTCTCCCCTATTCCCTCTCCCCTCTCCTCCTTCCCCTATTCCCCCTCCCCTATTCCCTCTCCCCTCTCCTCCCTTTCCTTCTCCCCTTCCACCTCTCACTTCATACCAGCTAGGTTAGCACTGTACCACAGAACTGCATACCTTCTCTCTTCTATTAAAACATTATCCCCAACCAGGAAGTCTTTACTGGTCAGCTAAATGTTCCCCATTTTATGTGTTCGAAGAGGATGTGCCCCTGTCTAGACCAAGTAGGCCTCTCTATAAGATCATGGAAACCCAGAAAATATGTTCTGCTTTTCTTCTGCTTCTAAGATTTCCTATAAAATTTATTCTGTAGCTAAATAATCCTGAACTGGTATCAGGTGCCCTCCTGCCCCTGTGTACCATTAATTTGCTTTAGACTTTGAAAGTGATATGAAATATAGTCAGGAAACACTCCGAGAGAGGAAGAAATTATAGTGATTTTGACAAGGAGTAGTAGTGGCCATGCAATGTGGAAAGATTGCAGAGTGGCTCAGGAGACAGGTCAGCCTGATATCTCCATTGGATTTGAGAAATGAGTGATTTCTGGGTCCTATGTGGGTGGTGATGTTCCTTATTAAATCATGCAAGATTAGCCATGCATAGTGGCTCATGCCTTTAATCTTAGCACTTGGGAGGCCAAGGTGAACCTCTGTGAGTTCAAGGCCAGCTGGTCTACATAGCAAGTTCCAGGCCAGCCAGAGTTAAAAATGCTGAGAAGGAAGAGGACAGGAGGAAGCTAGAGTGTAGAAGCTAAGGGGGGAGAGATAAGAACCCTGGGGATAGACAGGGGAGGAGGGGACAGGAGTGGCCTCAAAAGAATTTGAGTTACTTAAGAATGGTGGGAATGAGGAAGGCAACTCCTAGAAATGTTTTGCTGAGGGCTGGAGAGATGATTTAGTTAAGAGCACTGGCTGTACTTCCAGAGGACCTGAGTTTGAACCCAGGTTGCTTGATTACACACACACACACACACACACACACACACACACACACACACTTAAAAGAAATGAACAATTTTAAAAGAAGCTTATTTTTATATAATGGTTTGCCAAAAAAGGTGATGGCTTATCCCTGTATAGGGGCGTTAGGGATGTGGGTGTGGAACCCAAGGTTGGTGTTTTTCATGTTTTTGTTTATGTTTTGTTTTATGAGGCAATTTTACCATGTAGCTTTGACCGTCCTGGAACTCACTGTGTAGACTAGGTTGGCTTGGAACTCATAAAGATCTACCTGCCTCCTAAGTGCTGGGATTAAAAGTAAGTCGCTTGGCCTCAGACTCTCTCCATTGCTAGCTAACCTCAAAAATCCAGGACCCAGATGGAATTCCCACCTCAGTTCCCTTGCCGCACAGGCACATACCACTGCACCTGCATCTGGTTTTTGTGTTGTTTTATTTCTTATTCATTATTATTAGGAGGTGGACAAAGTTTGTGTGAGCACTCAGGCAAAGACACTTGTGTGCCATGTGGCACTTGTGGAGGCCAGGGGACAGCTTTGGCAAATCAGCTCTCTCTTTGTACCGCATGGGTTCCAGGAATTGGATGCAAGTAGTGTTTCCCCATGAAGCCACGCACTGCTCCTTCCCACTTTACTTTTTAATGTGAGAGACTTGATCATCTTAAAACATTGACAGAATACAATAGAGAGACAAATGTGGAGAGTCCAGAGATGGTATATTTCCAGGTAAAGATAAACCTGTGATTGGTTGAGTGCTTGCTGGATTGATTGATTGATTTGATTTTTTGAGACAGGAGCTCACTACGTAGCTCTGTCCTGGAACTCACAGATATACCTGCCGCTGCTGGAATGAAAGGTGTGCACCACTGTGCCGCACCAACCTGTGGTTTTTAAAAGGGGTCTGTGCATCATAAAGAGGAAAAAACAAGCTGTGAACCTTGCTTTTGCTTCCCTTTTCCTATTTAGATTAGAAATGATAAGTGATGTTCTGGGTGATGCTTAAGCCGCTGAGAAACAAATGTGTGGCTTGAGGAGTAGCAGAGTGGTAAAGATCTTACCTAAGAGGTTCTCTGGGGCCGCATCCACTCAGCAGCACTGCAAAGTAAAGAAACACGATAGTAATCTGTTAATTCTGTTTACAGCTTGACTAAGAGTGACAGCTTCTTCCCCACAGAATGCCACATCTAAGTGAAAAATCCATTTAGTTATTTTAAAAGTGACTTTAGAATGAGAACTTTTCCTTTGTTTTAAAGGTATAAAGGGGAAGAAGCTAGGCCTAGTGATGCACACCTTTAATCACACCACTTGAGAGGGAGAGGCAGGCAGATCTCTCAGTTCAAAGCTAGCCTGTTCTACATAGTGAATTCTAGGACAGCTAGAGCTACATAGTGAGACACTGGGGGTGGGGGTGGGGATGTGGGAGTAAGAAAGTAATTCTACAGGCAAAGGTTTGTCTTTTATCCTTAAGTAGGGGCAGAAAGGACACACAGCTGAGCTGGACCTAGGTAGTGTTCTTGAGCACACTGTGCTGCTGATTAAACGATTGTGATGAGGCGTTTAAAACCAATGGGACTGGAGAGACGCCACAGCTCAAGAACATGCACTGCTCATGCAGAGAACTCGAGTTTAGTTTCCAACACCCCGGCAGCTCTCAGCAGGCTGTAACTCCAGCTTCAGAGGGTACAACACATTTCTAGCCCCTTGGGGCACTGCACATGTGCAGCAGCCCACACACAGACACATACTTTTGGGGGTTTGTTGTTCTTGGTTTTTTTTTTTTTTTAAGTAGCAAAATGATACTGAGAAAGGGAAAGGCTGGCTTGGGTTATATTAGTCATATCAGTTGTTTGTTTTTGTTTTGTTTTTGTTTTGGTTTTGGTTTTGGTTTTGGTTTTGGTTTTGGTTTGGTTTTGGTTTGGTTTTGGTTTTCTTTAAACCAGACAGTATAGTATCTTTTTTTTCTTTTTTGCATTTGCTTTCCAGTTTTATCTTTATACTTTGTGAAATGAGATTGCAAACCCCAGAGCTGTTTGTCAGCATGCCAAAAGCCCGTTATCTCCTGTTACACTATGCCGTGTTGACTTCAGCTACAGACAAAACCAGGTGAATTTGAGCAGAGAAGTTATTTGCTTAGTCTTTTATTGAGTTGTACAGATCTAGTTAGAATAATATAGATTTAAAATGTTCCTTAAATATAATCTTGGCTACTTTGGGAAAATTTAACACTCCTTTTTCTTTTGTTATTAAGGGTCAACTGTATTTGTTGGTAACAGACCAGGGGTTTCTTACTGAAGAAAAAATTGTCTGGGAAAGCCTCCACAATGTAGATGGTGATGGAAACTTCTGTGACTCAGAATTCCACCTTCGGCCTCCTTCAGATCCTGAGACTGTATACAAAGGTCAACAAGACCAAATAGATCAGGCAAGTTGTCTGTCCCCTTACCCACCCCATCACAGTCTAATGTGCATATTCATTCTCTCTCTCTCTCTCTCTCTCTCTCTCTCTCTCTCTCTCTCTCTCTCTGTGTGTGTGTGTGTGTGTGTGTGTGTCTTCCTCTCTCTCCCTCTCTCTTCCTCTCTCTCCCTCTCTCTCCCTCTCTCCCTCTCTCCCTCTCCCCCTCTCTCCCTCCAACCCTCCCTCCCTTCAACCCTCCCTGTCTTTCTTCCTCCACCCCCACAGAGTTTCATTTTATAGCCTAGGCTAATCTAGAGCTTGCTGTGTAGACCAGGATCCCTTGAACTGCGAGATCTGCCTGCCTCCACCTCCCAAATGCTGGCACTAAAGACTTGTGCCACCACTGCCTGGCTAAAGTTCATACTCTTAATTGAAGCAATGTGATGGTCACAGCTGCTTGGGAGGCTGGGGAATGTCACTGAGCTCACAAGTTAGAACCAGCCTGGGCAACATAGTAAGATCCAGTCTCAACAAGGAAAAATCAAAGTCTTTTCAAGTGTTACTTTGTTTATCTAAAACTTTTGATTCATCCATTAATTTGCATGCGAGTTTTCTTCACATTTCTTAAATAGAAAAATGATTACTCTGTGTAAAGATAATCATAGTTTAAAAACTATGATTCAGAAGGTGATTTATGTTGGACTGTGAGGATCATGATGAGGACTTTGAATTTCATTCTAATTATAATAGAACAGTTATGTTAAATGTTGGATGTGGAAACTGCATTGTTACATTGTGTTTTTAAAAGACTGTTATGTGGAGAATGCATAACAAAGAAACAGGCATAAGAAGAAACCAGTGATCCATTTTGCTGTATTTATTTACTTAGACTGTCTGCAAGTGGGTTTGTGTGCCACGGGGTACATGGAAGTCAGAGGACAGTGTGTAAATCTGTCCTTTCCCACCAACCATGTGGGTACCAGGAATTTAACTCTAGTCATAATGCTTGGCAATAAAAACTTACACACACACAAACACACACACACACACACAGACACACACACAGACACACAGACACGGAGGTAGAGGGAGTATGTTTTTACTTTGGATTTTTGGTTCTTGATGTCTTTTTGGTTTGGGGTTTGGGTTTTTGTGTTTTGTGTTTTGATTTTTCAAGATGGGGTTTCTCTGTAGTCCTGCTGTCCTGGAACTTGGTCTGTAGACCCGCTGACCTTGAACTCAGAGATACACCTGCCTCTGCTTCCTGAGTGCTGGGATTAAGGGAGGAGAGGGAAAGAATAAGTAAATAAATAAATAAATAAATGTAAAAAATAATAAAAGTGGATATTAAATTCGATAATGACGGAAATGCACTAAAATTTTTCATAGGCGACAGTCTGGGTATGTAGCCAGGAGGTGTGATTACTGGGTATGTAGCCAGGAGGTGTGATTACCCAGTAATTGAACTTGACTATAACTACATTTACATTGCTTTGAAAATCATCTTTTGGGGCCAAGGAAATAGCTGAGTTTGTAAAGTGCCTGTTGTACACACATGAGAACCCGAGTTGTAGCCCTAGCTGGATATGGCAGCATGCACTTGTAATTTCAGTGCTGGGGAGGCAGAGACAAGATGATCCCTGGGACTAACTAGTTGGTCAGCCATGAAAACCTGAGTTCAGATTCCCAACATCCATGTAAGAAGTTGGGCGTAACAATGCATCCCTGTAACCCCAGCATCACACGGGTGGAGACAGGTGTCTCCTGAGAGTTCATTGGCTACCTGGCTTATCATAGTCCAAAAGATGAATGTCTGCTTCACTGAGACATCCTGTCTCAAGACTGTAGTAAAGGGAATAACAGAAAGAGACCCAATGGCCTGCTCTGACCACCATAGGTGTGCACACATGCATAAGCCTGTACCCTCTACCCCCATAGAGAGAGAACATGATTGACACTTGAGGTTGTCCTCTGGCTTCCACTCACATGTATTTGCACCTGCACACACATACATATGTATATTTGAAAATTGTCTTTTTAATCAGGCATGATGGCTCATGCCTATAATTTTAGCATTTTAGAAGCTGAAGCAAGAGGAATGCAGTGAGTTTAATATCTGCTATAGACTGAGACCTGTCTCAAAAACAAAGGAACAGCAATAAAAAGATAACAGGACTTCCTGCATAGCACATGCCTATAATACCAGAACCCAGAACTGGAGAGGCCGATGCAGGAAGGTAGCTGCAAGTTCAAGGCTCTCCTGGGTGGGCTATATAGCAACTTTGAGGCCAGCCAGGTCTATATATAGCAAGGGCCTCCCACAAAAATGAGTAACTATATAATACAGTAAAATGAAAACAAGTATTACCCTTTGAGCTGGGTGTGGTAGTGTATACCTGTAATCCCAGCCCTCAGGAGGCCAGCCTGAGATTCTTAGGAAGACCTTGCCTCAGAGCAGAACAAAACATTTTTGTGGGGAGGGAAAGAAAAATGAGTAAATAATCTTATGAAGTTCTTGAAATGTTTTAAAGACAAACACTAGATAGAAAGTAAGAGATAAGAACTTTAGAGGGTGGGGAAGTGCTGCGTCTGAACTGATGTAGGCAGCACGAGATGTGGGAAACACGACAGTTACAGCTCTTACAGTGATTCCAGCTTCCAGCTTCTGCTTCTCTGTCTTGTCAGAATTTTCCATGTTCATGTTTTTCTTTTTAAAACAAGAACCTTTTTTCAATACTTTTCTTTGACTGCCTTATTTATGTATTCTAGAAAGGGATTCTAAATCTATGTAAAAAAACAATAATGCTGAAGTAAATGCATAGCTCTGCAGAGAAGTACTTGGAAATAAAACTAAAAAAATCTGTGCTGTGGGGCTGGGCAGTGGGCAGCTCATGCCTTTAATTCCAGCACTCAAGAGGCAGAGGCAGGTGAATCTCTGAGTTCAAGGCCAGCCTGGTCTGCAGATCAAGTTCCAGGATACTATGGCTACACAGAGAAACCATGTTTCAAAAAACAAAACAAACTCCCACCCCAACCCTAAAAGAACCTGTGCTGTAAAAGCCATCCTTAGAGCTCATTCATGGGTGCTTCCTGGGTCACATCTCAAAGCTGAAGCTGGTTGTGATTGGACTCCTCAGGACTACCTTATGGCACTGTCACTGCAACAAGAACAGCAGAGCCAAGAAATCAACTGGGAGCAAATCCCAGAAGGAATAAGTGACTTAGAGCTGGCAAAGAAACTCCAGGAAGAGGAAGACCGTCGGGCCTCTCAGTACTACCAGGAGCAGGAGCAGGCTCAGGCTGCTGTGGCTGCCACCACCCCTTCCACACAGACCCAGGTAAAACCACAGCCTGCCAATCTCAAACATGACTGTCCCTTCAGTAATGAGGCAATATCTGTGTGGGTGAAGCAGCTGTATGTCAGCTCTGGCTTTTCAGCTGTGTTAGCATGTCATCACCCAAGGGTTTGGGCTTGTTGTTGTTTTCATGTGTTTTTAGATTTATTAATTTTATTTTATGTGTATTAGTGTCTTGCTTGCATGTGTATCTGTGCCCCTTGTGTGTGCCCTTTGTCTACAGAAGTCAGAAGAAGGCATCTGATCCCAGAAACTGGAGTTTTATACAGTTGTGAGCCACTATGTGGGTACTAGGAATCAAACCCAGGCCCTTTTAACTGCTGAGCCATCTCTCTAGCCCTGCCTGTGGAACTTTTGCACTTTGTTCTAAGTTTTTTGCTATCCTAACATATTTCTTATTTCATGAAAATGCTTTTTTAGAGGTTCTGATAAGATTATTCAGCCTTTTTCTTAAGTTATATAGAGCTACAATATAAACCAACTTGAACAAAGTGCTTCCTTTGAGTTAGAGGCAGCCTGAGGTTTTGCTGAAAAGAGTGCAGTTTTTGGAGCCAGAAAGATATGGGCTCATAGTTCTTGCTGGGTCTCTCTTCTTATTGCAAACACCTGGTCACAGTCCTGTCTCTCATGGCCCTTCTCCCTATCACTAAACCAGAAGACTTCATCCTGCGGCTTCTTTAGACTGGCATTTAGCTCAACTTCCAATATGTATTCGGCACAGGGTAGCATCTCTCTCCTTGTCAGGGTTGTTGTTCATATTTTAAGCAGTAAAATATGACTGTCACACAAGTTCTACAAGCAAAATCTCATTTCATGAATTAAAAAGTATTCCTTTCTTTTATGCTAACCTGCACCATGCCAGACCATTTCTCTTTGGCATAGGGACACAAGAGAACAGATGCCTTTTAGTATCTCATGAAACCATCTACAGAATTCACAATGAAAGGGGCTGGGGTGATGGCTCAGCCGGGAAGAATGTTTGCTGTGCAAACATGAAGCCCTGAGTTCAGTCCCAAGTATTCACATAGAAGGCCAGATATTACTCTGCAGCTGTAACTGTGGTGGGCAGACAGGAGGCTCTCAGCAGCTTGATGGCCACCAACCTAGCTCCAGATTCTGTGAGAGAACATCTCTCAAGGAAATAAGGCTGAGAGTAACAGATGACACCAGCTGTATACCCTAGCCTTGCTTTCTCACCACACTCAAGTGTATGCACACATATTTTCTCTCCCTCTCTTTCTCCATTAAAATGTAAAACTCCTGCCTTTAAGTCAAGTACTAACTACCCAAGCCTAGCAGGTGATTCCTACTATGCTAGAATAAGCTTTTCATTCTGTTCCAGTTCATAAAACACACTATTCTATATTCTCAGTTCTCAGGATTCTTGTTTTTTTTTTTGCTTTTAAGATCTGTTTATTATGGTATTTAATGAAATCCTGAAGAAATATTATAGTTTACCAAAATTGTTATTTTAACATAAATATTTAAACTAGAAGCTTAAATAATTATATATTTGGAATAATGAATGCATTAATTAATTTATACATTAATTATTTTTATATGAGATATCTTGTATATTTACTTCTCTCATACCGACAGAAGCAACTTAAAGAAGAAAGGTTTGTTGTGACTTACGGTAGAGAGTGCAGTTGATCATGGTCAGGAAGACATGGCTGGTGGAGGTAGGAATTAGTAGCACAGAATTTCCATCCTTTCCCTCAGGAAGTAGCAGCAGAACCAAGGCAGGAAGACATGCCCTGCCACACCCCTCACACCCACCTTTATATGAACCAGCTAGGCCCTCTTCTCTGAGATACCCAAAGCCCCCACAGCAACAGGCCACCTGTCACCTGTGGACCAGGGGCATCTAATGCCCTAACCCTAACACCTGTGAGCAGAGGATGTGCCCTGTGACCCCAAAGCTTCTATTTCTGTGAGGATACCTTTGCCTTTGTGGCTCTAGCTAGCTAACTCTGATTCAGTACCAGGAAGAGTTAGTTATCCCTTCTCATATGTGTTTCTCATACAGCAGGGCCAGCCAGCACAAGCCTCTCCATCAAGTATAAAACAACCTGGGAATAGTGAACGGAAACGCAAGGAACCTCGGGAAAAAGACAAAGAGAAAGAAAAGGAAAAAAATAGCTGCGTGATTTTGTAGGGATTGCTGGCGTCTGTGGGAACCACCTATGCAGATGACGGAAAGGAAGACCCAGTACCTACCGTCTGTGCCTGATCTCCCAATGTATTTTGCTCATGTTTTCCAGGGGAAGGTTGTTACTTTGTTACAATCAACTTCTTTAAGTTATACAGTACACTCTTTAAGAGCTGGAGTTTTATGTTACAAGTTGGAACTGTTGTGTATTGTCACTCATAGCCAAATGAGTATATCACTCCTATTTTGGGTCTAGTGACATTGCAACTCCAATCAGTTAGTAAGCTACTGTGTCCTGTGTGACAATGGATGGAGGTCACTGAATGAGTTTGATCCTTCTCAAGATGTAATTATTAGCACAACTATTTCTGAAACTTTCCATTGTTAAATTATGTTCTAATCCATGAGAAACGAAGAGTTTACTATAGGGGAGGGGAAAGCAGGAATAATGACCTTTCATTGTACATTGAACTGGCTCAGCCCTTGAACAGCTTTACCTTTCTTTAGTAATGTACATTTTAGCTATTACCTTGAGAACTGATAATGGAGATTGGATCCAATTTAGATAGAATATTTTTTATTTTCCAGTAGAAAAAAAAAATACATGACACTAATACTTATAACCTATCCAGATGAGATACTGACTTTGTAGTGCTGTGAGAGGTTGGGGAATCTCCACACCTCAGAGTCTGCGTGGCGGCTTCTGTTTGATAAGGATGTAATACACGAGTGAGGAGAAGGCCACACTCAGGCTCAGCCGTGTAAATACGAGGACAGAGGAGAGCAGCGTTCACTGTCTACCGTTTTCTAGAATTACCTTGAACCTTACATTTTAAATCATGTTTATTGCTAGAAAATTAAGCATAGTTATTTAAACCAATAAAAAAGCACATTTCTGAAGGAGAGTTAATCTCTTGACTCTAATGAAAAGATATTAATAAAATTCTAAATATAGGTAGGAGTCTGAAGGAATCTATGTAAAAGCAATCAGATTTTTTAACTTATGAGAACCAAATAAACCTAAGACATCTTACATTATTTATAGGATTCTGAAAGAATATTTACTCAGCTTTGTGATGAGGCAGCACATATTGTATTTCTAGATACAATTTGGAAAACTATCCTTAACATGCTTTTTTATATACTTTGTATTTAGAGTTTGTTTCGGTCATTTTTGAAGATTATTACCAGTGCAGGTAGCTGTGTGATTTATCCTAAACCTCAGTAAATTTTATTCAGGAGCATCACAGATTGAACATCCAGTTAGAGAATGTTTCTTGTGGTCTAGAGGGAATAAAAGAAAACAGTCTCGAGTTTAAGCCTGTTGTCATTGATGCTTTCCATGATCCCAGACAAGCTGTAGGCTGAATAGATATCTGAAAAGTAGAATTTATTTATGAAAAGCATTGTTCTAAAAGGAAAAACCCTTCAGGGCCAAGCTGTATCCTTTCTATTTTTCTGTATTACATGTCTACTTCTGTCCTTTGTTGTTTCCTCAGCTTTTCTATACTAGCATGGGGACTTATCAGAGAACCTGCCTGAGGTATGAAATTTGTGTATAAAATACCTGGTAAGTCTCTTGATTCCAACCTAGAGTGAGTACAAATTATCAGAGATCTGACCCCTTTGTGTGCACTGAGCTCAGCATAAACACCCATAATCATGCTCTGCTGATTGGAGGAGAAAGCGCAAACCTCAGAGTTTGCTTTCCCCAGAACTGTCTAATATTTTAATTTAGAGTTTATTGTTTAATAAACCTTGAATAATCTTTAAAAGTATGCTTGAGGCATATTTTTCCATAATTATATTACAGTATCTAGTCATTGCCCTTGAAGAATCTATATATAAAAGTTATGTTATTTTTTACTATCTTATTTTTTCCAAAGATAATACTGCCAATACTGTGTTCCCTTTAGAAGAAGGAAAAAAGAAAAGAACAAAACAAAATAAACACACACAACTCACTGAAAACATCAGCAGTGCTGTCAGAGGAATCAATGTGTACTTAAAATCAGCAAAGCACTGTGTTTGTTAATCCAACCTGTTCTTATGTGAGGTTTCCAAGTTGGGCTTGCCTACATTCCTGGAATTCAGTTTGATATTGTAAGAGTCATATCAAACTTATTATGATAAGATGTTTGTTTTGATTACTGTGGGAGAGGTTAAATGTTTGACTCTATTAAAACAAAGTTCTGAGATATGCTTTCCTGTCCTTGAAGGCTTGTCAAGGTTCTGAACTGCCATGTATTTATTTCCTATGTCTTGCACAAGGTAGCAAGTGATATTCAGGCATATTAGTGCTTATTTAGGTAAATAGGACTTTGAAAATGGTATTTTGAGGGATTTTTTCCCTTACAATACTTAGTAATACTTGACATTGTTTTACACACACACACACACACACACACACACACATTGCTAACAGATGTTACAATGTAAACATTTTGGAACTTAATGATTGTAAGCTTAATTTCCAGCACATTTGACTCATGTGCCAGTGCAGCAGGAGAGCTGAAGGCAGTGGAGGAGTATAGTCCCTGGCACTCTCTCTTACTTTCAGAGCATACTCTTAAGGTTAGAGACAAGTCTGTATTAAATGTGCACTTCTTTATGAATAACCCTGTTGTGTCAACAGTGCTGTGACCTGTACGAGTTTATCAGTACCTAGAATTATGTGTATGTTTCTGAAGTAAATTTCCATGACTTCTGTTTAGGTCTCAAAGCAATCTGAAAACTATCAGATTTAAAGGTTATGAATATTTAAAAATATTCATATATACCTACCTGCACTAGGAGTATCACCAAGTAGTACAGCATTTGCCTGCAGTACACAAGGCCCTGGGTTCAATTCCTAGCAGGTGTATGTAGACACACTGGCAGCTAATCACGGCATCAGCCTTATGTCCAGTCAGTCTGGATGGGTAGAATAACTTCCTCCATGTTTCAGGGTCAGGTTAGGATCTGAGCAAGTCAGGTTTAAATCTACATACATACATTTGTTCTTCTTGCCGCCCTTTTCTGTAGGTTGACAGTTTACTACATACTATGGTTTGAATTCTTTCTTATGCTCCTTGATCTTGTTACCTAAGCAAGTTAATGTCAGGTGTTAGTTGACCAAACTCAGTGTTAGCCATTCTGTCCTTTCACAAAAGCTTCATAGCATTTTGCTTTCCATAAATCATAAACTCACTTCAGTCCTTGAAGCATATGTGAGGGAAAAGGATGACTTGTGATCACTGTCATTGTTGGCATGTGAACGAATGTTTGTAAAATCCTAGCAAATTAAGGCAAGAATTTCTAGAACTGTCCTCAGTCTTGCTTAAATTTTTAGACATTGTCTTGCTATATATAGCCAGGCTGGCTTGGAATCAATTGTTGTAGCCCTGGCTACCTTCAAACCCAGAATCATCCTGCTTCAGCTTCTCACTGCCACTATTACAGGCATAGATCACCATACTTGTTGATATGTTGATATCACCAGCTTGTTGAAACTTCCTTTAGAAGAACAAACAGCAAACTGATTATATGTCGCTTTCTGGTTCATCGTACAAGTTTTTTATATATGTATATGTATATTGTTATTTTTGACAAAAAGCTTACAGGCTTGTACCTAACTCTGTCCTAGACATATAATTTAAATTGAAAAATTAATGTTTGATAAAGTAAGGCAGAGACATTGAAAATAGTCATTCATTTATATTTTGATGAATTAGACATGTGAAATTCTGACTCATTTGGTGTTTGAAACCTGACTTTATCAGGGCGTGGTGATACATACCGGTCATTCCATTTGTGGGGCTGAAGCAGGAGGATTTCAAGTTCAAGGTTACTCTGAGCAAATATTAAGACCCTGATTCCAAAAACAAACCAGACTTTGTCTCGTTTTGGCAATCATGTGTGCCTCCGTTTACTCTATGTGCAGGGTGTTCCTCTTCCCCTACATCCCCCTAGTGCTTGGTTCTCCTGAGTAATGCCATACTTTAGCATTGAGAATTACTGTGAGATCATCACAGATACTGCACATTCTCTGTTCTCGAATGTGTAGACTTTTTATGATGACTTAAATCAGTTTTTATTTTTTTAGAATGTGTAGAATTCTTTTGAATGTGGCATCATGGCTTTCAAAAATATACTTTGCAGTTGCTTCTGTATTTGGTAGGCTAGTGTCAAGACCAGGAGTATTTGGGCATAGAAAATGCACTTTACAAATCTGTTTTCCCAGTATCCTCTACAGATGTAGCTTTTCGAGCCCTTTGGTCAGTCCCTCCGGGGTAGAGCAGTATCAGGAAGTGACTTTGCTCTCTCCATTGCTGTCAGTGTAGACAACGTATTTGTGGCTTAGTGTAAAAATGAACTCTGATCTTGTGCAAGTCAGACCCTTTAGACAGCAAGTAAGAAACCGTGAAGGATCATGTGTGAGCCTTAACAGCTGTAGTTCTCTGGTAAGTTAGCATTCTTTTGTTACCGATGCCTGACCCTTTTTAAACTGTTAAAGGGAAGAATTGAGTTTACTTTCTTAGGTAACAGTTTAAAATAACTTTAAATTAAAAGCTCCCTAAAGGGAATAAATTACAGAGAAGATAAAAACAGGAGGGAACCTTGCAGGATGCTGGAAAACTTACTTTAAAAATCTATCTAAAATTTAATTCATGCATGTCTTTACTTAATTCTGGTGTTTCTGCTCTTAGAAAATAGAGCTTAACATTAAAATATGCGTTTTTTTTACATGTAGAATTCTAGTTTCTATCTTCTGAAATCAAAAGAGCTAAACTGAGCAAACAGGGTAAAAAAAAAATCTTCAACCCTTGCCTCAAATTCAGTGGTCCTTTGTCCTGACAAAAGCTAGACTTGTCTAATAAGCTGGTATTTTTAGGGCATGATACCCTCCCAGTAACTACTTAAACTACCATGGCAGAGATAGGAAATCTAAGCTGTGCCCCATGGTAGTAAAGAACAAAAGCCCCCTTGTCCCAAAAAGTGTCTATTGTATCTAGCATGACTTGTAAAGACCTCCTCAGCTCACATCATAATTTGTTACTAGTCACCTTTTAACTGTTCTGTCCACCTGTGCTGTCACATCTGGAGGGCAAGGCAGCCCTGTAAGTAAAGGTCGCACAGAGCAGAGCCCCTTGGTAGGCAGCACTCACTCCTTTGCCTCTAGTAGTCACTTTACATCTCTATGTGGAAAGTCAGGAAGCTCAAGTGCCCACAAGAAATCAACACTGATGACACCCTAACAGAAACACCCTAGGAAGCAGCTCCAACTCATGCAGAGTTTTAAAACAGACTGGTGTTTAATCTTTGAAAATGATGTCTGGTTTGTCAGAATGTTTGCTGCTGTTCTTTCCCACCCATTCTTTGTATGACATAACCACTGTGACGGGGTGCAGTGTCTTTTCACTTCCCAGGATTTTTCTAGTAGTTTTTGTTAAGACTTATTTTCCTCAATAAAATGACAGCTGTCATCACAGATCCACATAAGACCAGACAACAGAAGAGTGCTGTGTGACTGCAGAATGGTGGGAGGGATAATCTGCGGGCAGCTCATCTCCTGATGCCAGCACAGTTATTTGACTCTTATCCTTGACTTGGGCTGAATAATGAGGTTGAAACGTGGACTGGGAGAGCAACAAGCTATGGAACGCTGACTGACGCTGTCATTTTGAACAGTTGTAAGCAAAACAGGTTATCTTCCCCCACTTTACTGACACATGGAGCTGTGTGCTATCTGAAATGGACTCTTAGAATTGACCATGGGGACTGAGCGCCTCTACTCATGTTTCCTGCCTGTCCTAGCACTCTTTCTACATCTAAGAATTCATTCTTTTGCTTTAAATGCAAGTGAAGAGTGGTGAGTAATGGATGGATGACATAGAAGCAGTAGAATATGCTCTTTGGAAAAAGACACCTAACATGCACCTACCCCTCGCAGGGCCCAAATGATTTCTGTGAAATAAATGTTAATTATACTAAGAGCACCTCTAAAAATCATGTCTTAAATTTCAAGTTTCACTTTTGGAAACTACTCCTGAAGAGACACTGAATATAGGTGGGAAAGTATAAAATGTTTCTGACATAATGGTTCAGTATTACTCAGTGTTTAATCTCAAATTTGTTGTAACACAAGTGTAGTGTCATCGTTGGATTAAAACGTTGGATGTTTTTGTTATATACTTAAAACTGTAACCAGTGAATAACACCGTAGTATTTTTTATTATAGATTATATTTTATTTCAATAAACTTTGATATTTAGACTGAACATTTTCTCTGTGTGTCAACTCATCACCCTAAGCTGCACCCTGTATGGCTGGTCACATTTACCTGAGACTCATTAAGATCAACATTTGACATGAGGGACAGTTAATAAACAACTCTAAGCCACACAGTGGTAACCTTGGCTTTAGTGAGGAAGTCACCATCTCACACAGCTCTCACTGGAGTCAGGCAGTTAGGTTGATCGCTTCTTCCTTCCACAATGGGCGGGCTCCAGGCTGCCAAGCTAGTGCCACAAGCACCTCTACCCACTGAGCTATCCAACTTTGTTTGATAAGTGATTCAGAGCAATATATGCTGTAGCTCAAATTCGGTATTGAATATGAATGGGCAAGTATAATGCGGCTTTTAAAAACTCTTACTGTGGCCACAAATGGTGGTCCACACCAGTAATCCCAGCACTCAGGCGGCTGAAGCACAAGGATCTATGTGAGCTAAAGGCCAGCCTGGGACATGTAGTGACACATTGCCTTAAGTTTCAAACAAATATGATTTTGTTCTAAAGGGCACCAACCAGAGGCCAGTTTCTCTTACTGAGTGACTAAGTTCAAACTTCAACCATGCTCCTATTTAGAGTCTCAAATATCAGGCTACTACATCCAAACTTAAAGATAATCAGGGATAGCACAGACACCAGATGACTTAAGACAGTTATACCTAAAATAAAATGAACAGATTAGTCCAGTGGGGAATCCTGAACAATGGCAAACCTCACCCCACTTGCTATCAATAATTGTTCCCTCCCCCAACTCTATAGCTGGGTGAAGCAACCTGGTGGGTAGTGACACAGGCTTTTCTTTAAGAGTTAAAACAAATTAAGTCCACAACGAGATGGCACACTACACCCATGGAACAGGCAACACCAGGGGTACTGCCAACAACCAGGTTTGAATCTGGGCAGCTCAGACACAAGATGCAAAGATAGTATGAACTTCAGAATTCCCCAGCAGTTTTCTGTAATGTTAAATATACACCCATCAATTCCACGCCTACTTACCCAAGAGAAATTAAAACATATACAGAGAACTTTACACAAATATTCAAAACGTTTTTTCGTCAAACAGCAAGCAAGCTAAGTTTTCCATCAATAAGTGAAGGCATAAGAAATCGTGGTACATATGTTCAGATGGAAACCTACATAGCAAAAGGAAAAGAACTGACACAGCAATGCAGCCCAAATGCAAACTCCGCATTGAGTTTAAGGATGCTTTTGTATGATTCTAGTTATATGAAACTTGAAAGTAAAATAAAATAAAATGCAACAGTAGCTGTCTGGGCTAGAGAAGTACTGAGATCAGGAAAGGACCTAGAGAGGGCTGGAGAGATGATGACTCAGCAGTTAAGAGCATGTATTGCTCTTGCAGAGGACCACCTGTAACTCCAGCTCCAGGGGGACTGAACTCATATGCACATACCCACACACAGACACCATCAATACACATAATTAAAATTAAATCTGAAAAACAAAAAAAAGGACAAAGATTTTCAGTGATAGTCTGCTCTTTGACAATGGCAGAAGTGGCATAGCCATTTAAATTTGTTGATAGTTGTGTTCTGATCATCTGTAAATTCCATTTTAAAATAATTTCAAATGCTTTTATACATTAGCAAAATTCAATTAAAAACTGAAATATTAAAAATTCTAATTGAAGCTGGGGATGGTGACGTCCTAGCACTTGGGATGTAGAGGCAGGCAGATCTCTGTGAGCTCAAGGCCATCCTGGTCTAAAGAGCTAGTTACAGGACAGCCAGGGCTATTACACAGAGAAACCCTGTCTCAAAAAAACAAAAGCAACAACAACAAAAGCATGTAGTTGAGGACAAAGCATTAGGACCTGAGCTCCCTTCTCCAGAATCCATGTTTTTAAAAAGTGAGGTGTAGTAGTTTGAATAATAATGCCCCCACAAAGGTACATCTTTGAATATTTGGTCCCCAGTTGGTAGAACAGCTAGGGAGGATGAGGAGAAGTGGCCTTTTTGAAGAAGCTGTGTCATTGTGAACTCTGCTTTGCTCCATCACAGGCTCTCACTCACCCTCTGAAACCATAAGCCCAAATAAACACTTTTTTAAAAAATGTAAGTTGCTTTGGTCGTAGTGTTTTATCAAAGCAATAAAGAAGAAATGAAGACATGGGGCATGAGAGTGTCCATGGAGGTCATACTCAAATCCCAGGGGGTCACTGACCAGCCAGCCTAGCCTAGCTGTTGAGCTACAAGCCAATATAGAGATCCCATGGCCCCAGACAAGGTGTGTTGATTGCAGGTGAGGAAGGACAACAGAGGCTGACTTCTGGCCTCTATGTGCACCTGCACAGCATTCCATCTGACGTAACGTCAGAAAACAGACATTTTAGCGCAAGACTCACACACTAAAACCCTGAACTTGTTACTTTCCCTTTGTCATTCCATGACCACTGGATGTTTGTGTGTGTGTGTGTGTGTGTGTGTACATCACATTCATATTTTGACCTAATGGAAAGAACAAGGGTTGGAGAAAAAGAAGCACTAGCATCAAAAATTTGGGCAGCCTCTTGGGTTTACATTTGAGAAAGGCTTATCACAGAACCAATAAGAAATCTTGGGGTTTTGTTTGTGTGTGAAACTTTCGATTATGGGGAAGGGCATGGCACTGGAGAGCTAGCTTAGCAGTGAAGGGCATGTCCTTGCTCTTGCAGAGCAACAGAATTTGGTTCCCAGTACCCACCCACCTCAGGCAGTTCACAACTACCTGTAAATACAGTTCCTAAGGATCTAGCTTCATGTACCCATACAGAGAGAAACATGCAAATATACATTTTAAATTTTTTATATTAAATGCAGGTTTTTTGGAAAGCTACTCCCTGGCAAGGTCACTGACCTCAGGGAGACAGAGAAAGCATGTTCACAGAGAGAAAACAACAGTATTTTAATACTATTTTTATAAGTACACTGTAGCTGTCTTCAGACACATCCTGTATCAGATCCCATTACAGATAGTTGTGAGCCGCTATGTGGTTGCTAGGGATTGAACTCAGGACCTCTGGAAGAGCAGTCAGTGCTCTTAACCGCTGAGCCATCTCTCCAGCCCAAGAACAGTATTTTAAATTTTAAAAAGATGTTCACACTATTTTTTATATGTATGAATATTTTTGAATGCCCATATGTCTGAGTACCACATAAGTGCAGTACCCACATAAGGCAGAAGAGGGCATCAGGTGCCTTTTAGTTGTCATGTGAGTGCTGGGGAATTGAACCTTGGGATCAAAGGCTTGTGCCGCCACCACCCAGCTAATACCCTTGTGTTTTATGTGTGTGTGTATAACACCATTATATATATAAAATATATAATGTATATTCTGAGACACAGTCTGACTGCAGGCCTGGCTAGGTTAGAACTGACTTTGAAGACCAGGGTAGCCTCCAAAGTGCTGGGGATTAAAAGTGTGTACCACCACACTTAGCTGTTTTGTTTTAGACAGTTTTCTTTTAAATGTATTCCAAGCTGGCTTTGAACTCCTCGTCCTTCTGCATTGCCTCGTGAATGCTAAGATTATAGGCATATGCCATCACATCCAGATTTTTTTGTTGTTAAATTTTGTAGTAGGGCTCTTAGCCGAGGCTGGCCTTAAAACTGTACCTTAGCTCCTTTGTTGCTAAAATTACAGGTGTGCACTACTGTGCCTGGGTTGAATATGTCAAATTAGAAGAACTTGAGAATACTAAGTATTTGTAGGAGACAGTAGAAAGTCATCTGCAGACAAGAGGATGGTTTAAATGTTGTACTTTATGAAGAATGTGGTAAAAATTAACCATTTCCCAGGAAGGTCTCAAAACAATCTAACTGTTGCAACTAGGAATGGAGGGAGGTGTTAGGTGACTGTCTAACAAGCCACAGGAGCACATGCCAAGTGCTTTCTATGCAATTCCTAAGCCTTGGATTTCCACTTACATTCTTTTGCATGTGAAGTTTATGAGTTTAGCATCTTGCTTACACTAGTTTTCTTGAATAACTACAAGCCTTCTGTTGGTCTGAAAGCATCACAAACTCAACGCTGCAGGGCAGCATTTGGACAGCGCCATACTCTCTCCAGGCAGGGAAGAGCCCATCTTCTTATATAAAACCCTCTCTAAATCCAGTTTTACTGACTCTGCTAATTAGTGACCTAAGTCTTCAAAGCTACTCACAACTCCTAAATAATCCCATGCAATTTTCTCAAGTTTTCTAAACTAGAAAAGGCTGCAACCATGGCAACATGAGAAAAAAACAAAACAGTATCTGTGTCCGGGCCTGAGCTGCTGCTCCGGTCTGCAGGTCAGGGTCTAGCAAGAGAGAGAGTGGGGATGGAAAGGCGAGAGACATGAAGAATGGAGACGAGACAGAGGGTCTGATCAAGTCTCTCTTTATTGAAAGTAAATCCTTTACCATGTGCCTTGCCCTCGTGGACAAGCAGGGGAACACAGCTGAAGGCACTACATCACGTGCCTTGCAGCGTGGACACTACGTTTGCCTAGCCGCTGGCAGCACTAAACAGCAAAACAAGATATGTGAGAAAAACAAGATGTCTATCAGAGTGTGCTCAGCTGTTGTGGGCTGTTGAAAACAAGTCTCTTGTCAGGGTATATCGCCTGAGATGGCTGCAAAGATAATAGCCACTTTCAGCTAGGAGTCAGCTCCCAACAAATCTGGACACCATTGGGTTCTTCAGAGTAAGCAAAGACTAGCAACACTCAAAGCTAATTTATTTGTGCTGACAACTGAACAAAGGGACTCTTCTACATTAGGCAAGACTACCAGCCAGTAGACATATCCAGCCCTTCAAAGATCTGTAACCATTTTTTTTAAAATGGTTTATGTTTGCCAAGCCATGGTGGCGCACGCCTTTAATCCCAGCACTTGGGAGGCAGAGGCAAGCGGATCTCTGAGTTCGAGGCCAGCCTGGTCTACAGAGTGAGTTCCAGGACAGCAAGGGCTACACAGAGAAACCCTGTCTCGAAAAAACCAAAATA